ATCCATCATTACAATTATAAATAAACGGATTATAATGGTTAGCCGACCAGACCTTCCGGTTTAGGAGGTGTGCACGCAGCGTCTCGTTTTAGCTGAGTAATGGTCATGTTTGCATGGATTTATGAACTGCCCCTAATTACCACCCCCCTTCCAGAGAAACTGTCAAACACTCATACCTGCTTGGTATGACATTGAAAACGTTCAATAAAATTGTAATAAATTACAATAAAATGACTGTTGTTTAATCTTCACATCTTGTAATCACGTCTATAATTTTGAGTACCAAATTATTGAAAAGTATCAAAAAATACTGGTATCGATAAGTAGTATCGGTATCGATAAAATCCTAACGATACCCATCCCTAACTGCGGCTGAGAAAAGATAAGGCAGAGTGAGGAGCTCCACGGATTGGTCCATTTGGACCTTGGTATCGTTACGTCCCTATACTCAGGGAAAAATGTCCAACGAGGCGTTCTGGGGCAGCATAGACAGGTCTTTTCTGTGTTAGAGTTTTACTCGCTACAGGGTGTACTTTGAGGGTTTGTGACTCTGCAGACCGTTTACATGCAGAAAAAGCTACATAACACACAAGAGGACGGGTAATAACCAGAAAAGCATTAGATGGGACCATTAAGATACTTTTTTTTTTTAAGAGTAGAAAATGGCTAATGGGTAGACATGAGTAAATACGTTTATTTATATACGTAAACCCTTAAGTACAAGGAACAACCTTGCAATGAGTCTCCTGACACAACATAGACCCATGAATGTTAAACTACTCACAGTGGATTTTGTAGTCCTTGTACTGTCGGTCTTCGATGGCAGTGACATAAAGGGTTGCCCTGTCTGGGAAAATGAGTCCATCTGGTCTCTGTAGAGGGGAAACAGAAGTCAGACTCGTGTGAGAAACGAGCAACATGGTGCATTTTGTCACATGTCCAAGGCCAACTCATGATTGATGTCTAATAGCAGTTGTATTCCAATTCTATAAACCATAGAATATTATTTAATCAAACATTACCTTAAATTCTCATATTAGCTAGAATTGAAGTCCATGAATAACATGCAACTTGCCATAGGAATTACCAGGAGAAAATATAAATTTTAAGTGATTGGTAAAAATAAAAATGTATTTGTTATGGCAGCACACCACACAAGTACTGTTGTGTCTGTTTGGACTTGTGGGAAAACCTCATCACTACAGTGCAGAGGAACTCCTTTATTTTAATGTGTTGAGATAAACAAATATACACACCAGCCATTTGTCCCTGGCATAAATAACTGTGTTGAGCATGGACTCATAGAAGAGGCAGTAGCCCATCCACTCTGATATGATGATGTCGACGCCATCTGTAGGCAGTTCCACCTCCTCCACCTTTCCCTTGATGATAGTGACAACTGTAAACACAGAAAGGGTCATCAGCTACAACCTTTAAGCCCCTGGTTACTGTGAGACTCAAGACATTCCTATATTGAGCAACCATGCAATGATGGGACCATGAATAATTCCACTAACTCACCGTCATCCATCTTGTTGGCCTTCACAATTTTCACAGCGTAGTCTGAGATGCTGCTACACTCAATCTAATAAGACAAAGAGCAACATTTTAATTCACAATGCCTTCTTATGCCACTAAAGAGCAACAGTTAACATGGGTCAACCCTTCAAACTGGATTAGTACCAACACATACCCCGATAACCTTCTTGGCTCCAGCTTTGGCAGCAAACATGCAGAGAATGCCTGTCCCACTGCCCACATCCAGCACCACCTTGTCCTTAAACAGATGCTTGTTGTGGAACATGGAATTGCGATAGGTCAGAGTGCGAACCTCATCTTTCAGCATTTCCTACATTTGAAGGAACAAAGGGAGGGTTAAATCTTGTAACACAAAACGGAAACACTTTATATGGGTTGACCATTTGAAAACCTAAGCACAGCAGTTTGTCGAGTTGAAAGGGAATTACCTCATGGATGCCAAAGTGGGCGTAAGAGTCAAAGTAGTAGTCCTTTGATGTCATATCCTCCGCTGCAGGCTTGGCTGAGCTCTCCCCCTGAGAAATCTCAACAAAAGACACCCACAATTACAACCCAAGTAAGTTCGGCCATTGTGTCAGGTTTGGTGAAAAAATACAATTTTATCCGTTGGCAGAGATTATACCCACTGAAGCTCCCAACATAAAACCAATAGTTTTACTTGATGGGGGACACAGACAGAATATTAACAAAGCAAACAGCCGTATGGTAAAGGTAAAACTCAATATAGATTAAACAATTGAATATTCTTTGAACAGAGTACTCGCCACTGCATGAGCAAACGTTTTCTTGAGAAACAAGCTGCAATTATGTGCAGCTAAAACACTGTACTACCACCTTTATATTTTATAGATGTACACACGTGTTTGGACAGATTTTTTAAGGATGCTTAATTAAAAAATAATAATAGATAAATTCATATTGATTTTAGTTTAAGTCAAAATAAATGTATTATGATGTGACTGTCCGAGAAGGCAATGAATGAGGCCAGCCCGCACAAAGATGGAGCACATGGTCCATGGTGCTGAAGTGATCGTGGCCTTCCTCTAAAAAGGGATATTGCCAAATAAACATTCATCAAAAGCCTCGATACATCAGCTCACAGTCAGGCCACATTGTCACCGAGACAATTCACTCTCGGCGTTATTAGCTGTTTGCTTAAACTTACTACGTCACTAAAGTCGAACAACTATAAAATAAAACAACAAGTCATAAAATACGATGGTGATGCCGCTAACAAAACAAGACGCTGTTGGAAGATGTTTAATTGATCATGGAATGTGTTTGAACCAACAGAGGAGTAATGTAATGGATGATGCCGCACTCACACTGAGCTAGACAGAAAGCTAACGGAGCTAACACGCTGGCTCCCATGCGGTCCCACAGGCCGGCTTGCTGTCGCACCAAGTAAAACTACGTTTCTGCCACCAGAAGTCGCTTTAACGTATAGCGATGGCCATCGATTTCAAAGTCAATATACATACGTAAAAGTAAACTAACACAAAAGTGTATAAGTCAAAATGTAGCTGTATCCGATGAGCGACCCCAAATGAATGAGCGGGTGCATCACATAGTAACGTTAACGATAGCAAGTTAGCTTCAACTAAAATGGATGAATCATGAGCTGGAGCGAATGCAAGGACAAAAGCTAAACGTTAAGTCAAACAACTAATACATCATTTGGAATACTGATCATGCTGATATGCGTTTAGCGTGTACACAAATTAAATAGGTGTTTATTTAATTTCCTATTGGACACCTTACCTCCATCCTCTCTGCTGGCGCCGCCATTTCGATAGTCTGCCTGGCTGCGGGAGACTGAAGGACGCTCCACGCCCCGCCCTCTCTTTATACACCCAGGCCCCGCCCACAGCCAGCTCTCATTCTTCTTCTCTTTGGGTTTTAATTAACCCATGGTTTTAACCATTACCGCCCTCTTCTGCTCAGTGTGGATCATCGATAAGAACCTAGCCATAATCCCGTTTCTCTACAGCCACTACTCCAACTTTAATTTTTAGCTTGAGTACCATCTCAAATGCCATTGGTCTGAACATTTATGGAAATGGAGGATTCAAATGAATTTTCTAATCGTCACACACATGTGCAGCACAGCACACTCACAGTCAAATTCAGTCTCTAAATGTAACCCTATATCCGCAACTAAACAGCATCTGGGAGCAGTGGGAGGCTCAAGGGCATCTCGGCAGTGCCCAGAAAGTGAGCTGGCCCCTCTTAAAGTACTTGTCCCCTAATCTTTTCTCGGACCTGAGACCTCCAGCTGCCAAATTCCTACAGACTCAACTACTGCTGCCCTGTAGGATACCAACTATTTCATGTTCTATTCGAATGAACATGTGTTTTTTTTTATCAATACAAAAGCTACGACTACATGCAGTGGAATGTTTATTTAACTTTATTTACACGGATAAATTGAACCCTCGATTCTGATTGGTTAATTTAGCCCCTTAATATGGCACCCACCCGAGTGGAAGTGGGATAGGGTGTCGGGGCTGAATTGGAATAGGAACTAGTAAGAGTGTCTGAACTTTGACTTCCTTCTGGAACTTCCATCAGATCTGGAGCATTTAATGGGGTTCTGACTTTCAAGAATTATCGGCAGGAGCGTGCCGAAACTACAACTGAACTACTTTACTAATACATTGTGAATGGTGAATAAGCAGCAAAATATCTATTATTTGACTTAAATATTCTGCCAATCCCAAAGTTTTCATTCCTCATATAACATTTCAGAAAATAACTAGTAACAATTATGCAATCGGATTGATGCACCTGCCATAAAGGGACAACATGTGACAAAAACTTTAACAAACCTCTGCAAAAAAGTCAGTGTTAAACTGAGTGTTGAAAAACAGCATATCTTGAGTGAAGAATGTTTCTGTTTCCTATCCTGATCAATAGCTCAAGTTATTGACACCACCAATATGAAATCTAAATCAATGTGTTTGGCAGACTTTTTTCTTGCTAATGATAACAATAATGTTAATCATAATAATGCAAAATTGGATTTCTATAGCGTTTTTCATAACAATAAGGGGAGGGTTAGGATGGGGGGAGTACAAAGAAAAAGAAAACAAGGACAAACAAAGACAATCAATGGGCATGGATGGGGGGGGGTTATGGGTAGGCAGAGGAGAAGAGATCTGTTTTGAGGAGGGACTGAAAGAGTGTGAGGGACACGGAGTCGCAGAGATCTTGGGGGAGGGAATTCCAGGGCCTTGGAGCTGCCCCTGCAAAGGCTCTGTCGCTGAAGGTGCGTAGATTGGCTTTCGGGATTGATAGGAGGCCGGCTGAGGTGGATCTGAGACCGTTGGTGTTAATAGGGGTGAGGAGGTCAGTGAGGTAGGGGATAATTGGACTCGCATGGACAAAATGTGTCTGGATATAAATATGGATAATATCAAAGAGATGATAAGCACTTTTAATCTTGTTATAGCTTTTACATTCTAAATAGTATGTTAACATAATTTCAAAGTACGAATTCAAGTTTTTCAGTTTAGAGAGTATAAGTGCCACAAGTGGTCATGTGATTGACATTAGCTCATTTGTGTCGTTTGAGACACACAGACAAACAAATATACCAACACACTGGACGATTCAGGCTTTTCTATTTTTAAGAATCTACCCCTTCACAACCCCCACCCAAACCCCTTTTTAAAATAAAACCCCTTACCTATATCTGAACATCACCGCGACACTCACTGTATGATAACAAGAAACCAACCCGGTATCACGGCAAGACGTGAACATGTGACGATTTACCATGCTGGGAGACGTGAATATGTCGGGTATTTCTCCACTGGTTAACATGGGTTAACAATACCGTGTAACTGTCACGTTTTGAAGGGACAAAACCGTGACATATTCACGTCTCCCAGCATGGTAAAACGTCACATGGTCACGTCTTGCCGTGATACCGGGTTGCAAGAAACATAGAATGCACCTATTTTAAATAAAAGCTCTTTGTTCAACTCTTGTCAGAGCTTAGACCTCAGTTTGAGTTTTTCCTTCCAAAATTCCAACAAAGATAATTGTTGGGAACCTCAACTCTTCTCAGTGCACTTCAACTCATTTGTGTAAAAAATCCAATTGGAACTTCTTTTGATGCTTACTCTTTTTCTGTATGCTTCATCCCTTCAACACATACTGCTTCCACTACTTCTCATGCATGTTCAACTTTTATCTTCTGATTCAGAATCAATGTAATCCTTTACATTTTCACATCTTAAATTCATTAGCCGTTTTATACACATTTCAAACATTATGGGTATTCATATTTTAAATAGCATTAATGCTAATTGAACCCATTCACTCACCTACTCCTACTGATTTACCCTCTTCTTACACATTCAAGCCGGATACAGTGCAGTGTCAGCTTTTCAGAATGTATCATTTAAGCTTTAACACTTTCCAGGCAAGTCATTTCACATTCCTGCTTTTTTAGCTATAGCTTTGCAAAAATGTTTAGCTCTTAGCAGGAAATGCATGTTCTAGTTTACTACATTGTGAGTAGTCAAATTATACATTTAGATTACATATACTTTCATTGATAATTTATTGTTAATTGAAATAAGACATTCCCCTTAATATAAAGTAGCTGTGCGTCTGGTGTTATTTAAATGTCATCTGTATTCATGTGACCTAAGAGATATAAGGGGAGTTTCGAAATCCCACACACAAATGCAGTGACAAGCAGTGTGTAAAGGCAGGTTCCACAGTTTGTAGTATAAATATGTAACAACAACCGATATGTTTCGAATTATGCTACTTTACACACATTTAGTTGTGGATTTCTATTATATATAATAGATATAGGCTATATTATAATTATTTTATCAATATATATGTATATTAATATCGACAACAAAAGTGTGGGTGCATCAGATATAGACTATGAACCTTCTCTTTTATTATACGTGGACCTTTGTTGTCATTTTACCTTCACATGACCTTCACCCACCCCGCTGTCATTCTACAAACAGTTTCCTTATTTGCAGCCTCTGTACCCGCTGCTAATACGTCTTTATAATGACAGGTACCTGGAGCCGGGCAGTGAATTTGGGCAGATTTAATCCCAGTGCCACCAAACTGGACCAATCAGCCCCAGGCTGCACGAACTGTCACACTGTAGAACGAAAGGGGCGTACGCGTGCACGGACTGCATGGCGCGGTCACGCGATCAGATCTGCTGTCACGAGCCTTATCCAAGCAACGGAGTGGAGGCTGGAGAATTAGAACGGACATCAATTATACACCACATTTCAGTTACCAAATTGAGTGTGTGGTTAAGAGAGCCGGGCTTTAATTCGTCAAGTTGGCACTTGAGAGGGTCTACGTAGTTATCCCGGACAACCGGTGATGTATCCCAGTATTTGAATGATATTGGTAGACAGCTAGCTAGCTGTTAGGCTAGCTATACGGCGCTTGACTTCGAAGTAACTCAACGTTATATTCTGTGACGTTTATTCTACTGACTGCATGTATCTGCGAGACACCCAAGTAGTGTGGGGTTTTACCTTTTGTGAATAGTTACAGTAGATGGTATATGCGTCGCCTCTATGTAGGTAAGGATTGAATGAAATAACGTTAGCTTGCCATAGCCAGCGGAAACGAGCCAGTTAACAGGGATAACGCTAATTTATCCTCCAGCACCATCCAGCTAATCTAGTGTATGCCACAGGCATACCGCGAGCTTCGTCAGCAACACTGAATGATATAGGTGTAGCGAGCAACTGGAATTGCTGAAAAGCTAGCTACTACTAAACGTCAAGTTGGCCATATTCGACTCCAGTCCGGTGTAAAGGCTGAGCGACGTCAGATACCGTTAAGGCCGGAGTGAGGACAGATCTGCAAACATGCCGGCTGTGTCGAAAGGAGATGGAATGCGCGGATTAGCAGTTTTCATTTCGGACATAAGAAACTGTAAGTGACATTTTCTATCGTTCCTGTAACTGATGTGTGTCGTTCATCAGTTAACCCATTCCTTTTTTTTTTTTTACATGTGTTGTATTAACGTGGTGGGCACCACAGCAAAGAGCCGCTAACTAAATGTACACAAGACATCCTCCTCGATGTGAGGCTGACATGTCTGTTTAACGCACCTGCTGCAACAGAACCAAGGCTCCGATACATGCAGAACACGAATCCTCGTCTGTGTTAGTAGCTGCTTTGGTCAAACTGTAGTGTATATGTCATTATTTTAAACTGACAGTTTGAGGATTATAATAGATAGGAAGGACAGCTGAATCGTAACCTGAAGAGCCTGCCATCATCTATAACTGGCACAATCGACAGGGCACCATGAAATAAACATATGCTATTTTCAAAACGTCGATTATGTTTTTTTAAATGTTTGCATACATTTGCAACTTTATTGTATAGATTTTCGCTTTTTAAAATTGTGTTATTGACGACTAACGACATTAGTCAAAAGGAGCTATAGGCTAAGCGCAAACAGTTTCTGACTTCTAATATTGATATAATAACATTTTGTATGATAAAATATTTCATCGTGGTATGTGTAATTAGTATATAATTCATTCACATGTGTACAAAATTGTCTGGGAGCTAACAGAAACAGAAATGAATGTCTATGTAAAGCTCATCCATTGAATTAAATACCTCACAAATCAAAGTAATTTGGTAAGAGTGTTATATTATATGTTGTATGGGAACAATCTTTTGACAGGTGACAAATATATTCAGCCTCAGTATATAACATTATGTCACAAAAGACTATGCAAATCAGTAGGGGTGTAACGGTTCACAAACATTTCGGTTCGGTACGTACCTCGGTTTTTAGGTCACGGTTCGGTTCGGTACGT